GAAGATAGTGTAGTCTAAACCACGTTAAAAATCGGCGTTATTCCTTAAAAAGTAAAAGCGTTATCTAAAATAAAAGTTTTATCTTGCTTTTATTCTTTCTCAATCTCATCCAAAAAGTAGTACAATTATATTTAAAATTACATTTAACATTCTTCTCATCTTAATTACTATCTTCGACCCAAACTGAACATAAATGGTTAACGTTTGTTATATTGAGAATTCTCTGTCGATCAGTGCTAACACATCCCATTTGAATATATTCTATCTATTGTATTATATTGTTAAGGAAAAAATAAACAAATATAGTATAGTCAGAAATTTGACAAAAACAAGAAAACTGACAATTCCTCAACTAACAAATGGATAACGTGTTAAAGAGTCAAATGTTGTCAGGTGTGCATATTAAGGAATCAAAATTACTACCAAAAGTAGAATTAGTTTATTTATAAAAAGTAGTTGCAAGAGAAAATAGATGATTTGGTTTCAATTCTTATTTTTAGTTAATTTTCTTTAAGGTGAATGTAACTACTCGTGTGTTATTAAATTGAATATTTAACGTCCTTTTAGAGAAATAGCAATCAGATTGTTGTTAACGAAAAAATTATTTAAGATGAATATTAAGCAATTAAAATCGTCATTTCCTCAGACATTATTTACTAAACTATTAAATATCCAATATCCAATCATTCAAGCACCTATGTCACCACTCACCACACCAGAATTAGTGGCTAATGTTTCAAATGCGGGTGGTTTGGGATCAATAGCTGCAGCGCGAATGAATCGACAACAATTAAAAGCTGAAATTGACAAAGTTCGATTGTTAACATCAAAGCCGTTTGCTATCAATTTATTTATACCACCATCAACACCGGATACATGTACACAAGATGATGTTAGAGCCGTAAAAGAAGTATTGAATAGAATACTAACACGAATGAATGTTACATCAATTGATATGAATAAGTTGAAATTAATTAATCCACCGGTGAATCTATATGATGAACAGATCGATGTGATTTTACAAGAACGTATATCTGTATTGAGGTAATTTTACTCATTGATCGATTTTAATTCACGATTAATATAATTTCATTGCTTTAGTTTTACATTTGGTTATCCATCATCAGACATTATTTCAAAATGTAAGAAACTTAGAATTAAATTAGTTGGCACAGCAACAACACCTCGTGAATGTTTACGTTTAACAGAAATTGGATGTGATGCTATTTGTTTACAAGGTAGTGAAGCTGGCGGTCATCGCGGAAGTTTTTTGACGAAAGATAAAGATACAATTGAACAATCAAGTATCGGATTAGCGTCGTTGCTATCACAATGCGCACAACAGAGGTGAGAACTATTAGTTTTCATATGACATTTCTTTAAGCTCTAAATTTCAATATAGTCCACCTGTACCATTGATTGCGGCCGGTGGTATTATGGATGCTCATGGTTTAATCAGTTGTCTGGTATTGGGTGCATCGGCAATACAAATGGGCACAAAATTTTTAACATCTGATGAGAGTACACTGATACCGTCAGCTCACAAACAACTTCTACTTGATCCATCAAAAATAGAAACAACTGTTTTAACTCGAATTTATACGGGTAAACCAGCAAGAGGTATCTATACTCAATTAATCGATGAATTTAAAACGATGGATCCGAAACATATTCTTCCATGGAATATTCAATCACAATTAGCTTTGGAAATAAGTAGATATGCTGCTAAACATCATCAACTTGATTTTATGCAATTATGGGCTGGTCAGAATTATTCAAAATGTGAAAAAAAACCGGCGAAACAAATCGTAGAAGATATTATTCAAGAAGCAAATAAGATTTTAAATGGTAACTAATCATAGAATGTATCTCAAAATCAAAACAAGTTATTCTTTTATTTTCTCATTTAATTTATTTTTGATCTTTTTAGATGCTTGTATTTCATGTCATATTTTTTTCTGCTAAAATTTTTGTTATTTTTAATCTGATCCATGTATATGTTGGTGATTTGCATGTTACACATAGATAACTAGAAACAGAAACTTCTTAGGGTTCAGAGTTTATTTGAAAGACGTTTTCAGTCATTTCTACTAACATGCCTCACGATAGTCATTTCTGCCAGCTGACGATCAAACAAATGATTTCGGTCCATGTAAGAGCATCCTACCTGTTTTTCACTTTTTCGAGTACTTACACAAAAAAAGTATATGTTTTTTTTGTGTTAAAACGCTTTCGTATTACGCAAATTATTCGAAAAAGTGCATCTTAATTCAAGATAAATATATATAAACTCTTAATTGAATGCACGATTGTACCTGATGGAATTCTGTCGTGAAAATGTGTCGATATCAGTGACAAATTTATGGTGGGTGTGGCCCCATCCATCAGAAACAGAAAATTAACTAACGAAACTAACTTATTAATTGTATTTTCACTACTCCACATCCTTCGAAATTCGCTTTTTCTAGAGAGAGGATGGCATCGAGGAGAAATCAAGATGGGCATCCACGCGTTGGAGTTTCAGGATAGATCGTGTAATGTGGTTACGGTGCATGATCAACTCGAATAAGGTACAGACAAGTAGAAATGTCAGAATATATCGATATAATGCCAGGAAAAACGTTTCATCCCGAGGAGATATAACTGTGCTGGAGTGTCCCGCGTGTTGACGTTAGACAGAGGAACTGGGTGCTGTCGAATAATGTGGGCAGAATCAGGCTTACGGGCATTGGGAAACATTGTCGAAGGTCCAAACTTTTACACGTACGTGTTACCTCGTCCATTAGTCAATTCTCGTGCACTGCAAGATGCAGCCAAATGTGTTTTTAATATATTTTCGATACTTGATAT